GCATAGTTCTGCAGATACTTTAGTAGATTACTGTAAACCTCAACTGCTATAAATATCAGTTGTCTATAGGTACTAGTTAGCTGAGCCCAAGCTCACCGGAATCAATGCTGATTCCAATCGTTGTCCACCAATGTTGGACCAGACCCCAGGCCACCACACTGTGCCAGCCAACACTGGACTGCAATTTAGGCATTCAAGGCTGGTCCCAATGATCTCAATGCCATTGAATATTTCCAAAGACACCAAGGGAAGGAAGCAGTATTTGGGCTCCTGTAGACAAACGGCCATCATCAATGATGCAGAGCTGCCCCATCTTGAAGGCTTGAGCCTTTGAGCAGGTGTGTGAGATAACTGTGATGTTTTAATTAGCCCTATCCCTAAACTATCTTTATTGAGAGCTAAAAACATCCTGCATTTCACAGGGAACTCCAGCCCAGCTTTCACCAGGTCCCACCGTGGTGTCATGGAGACCACAGAGCAAGAACAGGGAGAGGGTCACGGGCACTGTACAGACCAAGGGCAGCTAAAACACAGGTTTCCAGGGACATCTCTAATTCCCCTTGGCAACCAGTTCACCCCATAAGATGGGGCAAGTATAAACCTGCCAACACAGCCTAATTTCAATATGTCGAGCAGGGGCTGCCCAACCATCTATATACAATGCTGGAGACGATCATCTCTTCTCACAGCTCTACCAGCTCAACCTTTGCAAGAAGATTGCTCCTGCCTCTCCTGTCACAGGGACTGGATTTTGACCTTGCTCAGGCAAGAGTCCCTTAGTCTTTAAATGGACATCTTCCTGCATCACAACTGTCAGATTGTGCCCATAGGGCTAACATGTAAAAGCAGTATTTATTTTTAAATACTTTCCTGCTTTACGTGAGATTTCAGTTCCAAACAACATGCATCAACTTTTTTTAAAAAATCCACACACAAACAATATTTATCATCCAAATACCCTTTAAAAGCTCAAAGGCTGACATATTAAAGCCAAGAAGTCAATTTTAAATACATATATATTTCTAAATCATTTATAAGAAATATATGTTGCTGGTCCATTGATATAGAGAAAAAGCTTGTACCTGAAATTAAAGAATCATATTCAAAAAGATATGCTTGTCTGCTGAAAGGCAATATATTGCACCTCTCTACATACCTCTGCTGACTCCATGGTCATCTTTACAGATACAACAAATCAGGGGTTTTGAAAGGGGTTTTTTTTGGTTGGGTTTTTGTTCTTTGTTTTTTTACAAGTATGGAAAAATTCCATTCACTCCTGAGGTTACAGAGAATGCGATAAAATGCCTACATTTTCTCAGTCTCAAATGAGATGTAGTGATGTCATTCACATCATTTCCAAAGGACGTGCATTTGAAGCATGAGGGTGGAATGGAGGGACCCAGGTATAGCTACACATGTGTATGTATATATGTATATAAATATATACATACACATAAAGAATTGTGGGAGGACAGCAAGACATACACAATAGCCTGGAAGCAGAAAAGCTGGGTACAGGCAAGTTGATCCTAAGTGCAGCTGGGGGGAAACGCAACACTCCCCTCCCACAACCTCTGCTCTCTCTGAAAGCTATGATGAGAGATTCATCCTCAAAAGCATGTTTTGAGGCAGAAGTAGACTAGAAAATTCACTGAAGATCTTCACGCTATAAAAGAGGTATCAAATAAACTGATAACTGAATTTGTGTGTCTGGAGAGGAGAGGAATCAGAAGAAATTCTCCTATTGCCAAGTGTAGCGTATTCGGCTCTCTAGAAATCAAATCTGCCGGGTGGTCAGTAGCTGCACTATTCCATCATCTTGTGGGGATGGAAATGCCCAGTTGAAACAAATTGGTATCTGCTTTTCAAAAACTGGTGGACAGCTTGAACCCTCCCAGTCTTCAAATGCAGACACAAAAATTGACAGAATTCTCAACATGAATAGGAATAAAATCAAATCCTGAATGACTTTAAGGAGTTTAGTATGTAGATTTTCTTGAAATAAAACAGTAATTTCCCTACGTTCTCCCAGAAATAATGACAGAGTACATCATGTTTTATAAGTCCTCGCAAAATGAATCATCTACTTTCTTGGGACAGCATCAGAACTCACCACACACAAAAAAGATGAAACAACTCCTTTAGTAATGCGTTAAGACACATAACTTGTCTGTGACCTGATTTTAAGGGCCTTTTTTCCTATCTGTGGAAACATGAGCAGTCTCAACATTTCTGTTTCTTTCTCACTGCCATCAGTTCTCCGTAACTGCAACATTGCGAGCAAGCATTCCCCTCCTCTTTCAAGAACAAAACCATCACAGCATCTGCTTCTCATAAGCACATATGTGCGTGTCTATAAGTGTGCGTGTATGAGAGAGAGAAAAAGAGAGAGAAGGAAATCTGCTGAATTTAACTTAAAAGTTTGTTGCAAGGAAGGATTTTTTCTTTCCCATCCTTCAAATTGTAGAACATAGAAGTAGGGCTACTGCTATGCACTTATGCTTTTACTTTCAACTCACTTGTTAGTACAGGGTATGGTTAGTGACTGAGGAAAAAAAAAAAAAGAATTGATTTGACTTCCAAAGCTCATTGACTGGTGCATGAATGGCTACAGATGATAGCAGGGTTTTATTGGCACTTGTCTCCCAGAGCCTGCTTCAGCAGTGGAAACTGGGCACATAACAGTAGTCCTTGATGCGGAAGAGGCAATAGCTTCACCACATATTCATCCCCACTGCCCATCAACTCAATAAAACAATCCAGAAAGGGATTCCAGTGCAAACTGTGGACCTGTTTTTTCCTGTCCCGTTCTGCTTTGATGTATACAGGGAACAGGAGGAGGTCCCTCATCACCTGAACTTGAAAAGAGGAAGGCAATGAACCGACTGGTTTCGCTAGACTTTAAACTATTTCAGGAAGTCAAATACTACACCTCAAAAAGAAACGTTGCCTTTTCTTTTGCTCCCCATCACCACCCAAACTCTCCAGCCCTGAAGTTCAAAGAGGATACATTGCCTCTTTGCCTTCCAGCTTTGTCAAGTCCAGAAAAAAAAATTTAAAAGCAGAAAATAAAAAAAAAAAAGCTTGGATTTTTTTTCCTCCCAATATTTCTAATACTGTCAGAATTCCCAAGTCAGAACTCTTGTTCTTGAGATATTTCCTGAACTACACTGTCCTGATAAGAAAGTGAACCGTGGCAGCTATTACTATGTTCCCTCCCATACAGTTTTCCCATTGCATTACGAATTCATTGACAAATTGAGGAGCTAGCTCCACTAGAGCAGCAATAATATATAGAACTGTCATGAGAATGAAATTTATTAAGAGAAAGAAATGCCGATGGACTATAAAGATGAGGAAAAAAAAACCCAGCACATTTAATTCAGCATCCCAACACCGAAACTACAACCCTACTGTTTTAAAGTAATATTTAAGCACAGTCCATTCAGCACTTTTACACTGTCTCAAACTTCAAATCAGCAAGGTACACACTTAAGGGTCTTGCCAAATTGTGACATAGTCCTAATGCCTCCAGTGCCAGCATGTCAAGCCCTCTCACGTGGCAAGGGAGAACACTCAACACCTCATAGGAGCAAGTTCAAAAAGCCTGGAGAGAAGCAGCAGCGCAGGGAGGGAGGCCTGAACCTCCGAGTGGCATGCACATCCCCACACTCCCCCTCCCCTTTCACACGCAGATCCATGTGGTCTCCACCTGACAAACCTACATTTACAACGCTCCTTGCCTTAAAATTAAACTGTTTCTTATCTCAGCCATGTGTTTATGTCTTGGTTTCCATTTAGCTGGTTTGTCTTTCAGACAGGGATGTCTGAAAACAGTGGTAACAGAAATATAATAGGTTATAAGAGCCTTGGGAAATATTACAGAGGGACCCTGGGTGCACAGAGCAGAAAGGCAACATCTCCAAGCAACAGCTAGGATCTGGCAACCCATGGCCCAGTCCTGTGCTCAGCCCCAGCTAAGCACATGCTGACACACACTGGAGTCACTAGGGTTGGGCATGGGGGCTGACCCAGCTCCAGCCCATTGCAGGACTGGGGCCGTCAAGGGTAATCTTGCAGCCTTAATGCAGGATTGCATCGTGCTCACCTTGGCTTCAACTGAAGTCCTTATTATGCAAGCCAGACCCAAGGGCCAGGCCAGAAACGGGGTTTCCCAAACACCTTGCAGAGCACTGTGGCTAGAGATGGACACGTAGTTTCCAAGTTCAGATTCTTACCCAGACAGCAGCCAAGCCTGAATTTGTGCACGCTGAGCACGTGCAACTTCTTAAGAAATTCAAGAGCTGCAGCTGGGGTCTTATAAGGCCCACAGCAAATCTTAGGTTAGACAAACAGATTTTGAAGTCAACAGGAATTGAAAATTTCAGCACTTTCCTTGAGGTGCTCAGCAGACAGATCAGGCTAGTTGAAAACATTTTGTTTCCACAAGTCACACATTTTTATAAAGATGACATTTGTTTCCTGAATATTGATGTTATAAGTTACCACCTTTGAAATGGCTTAGCTGAAAGTTCTGCCTCATGAGTTAAAATAAGGGTATACTGATATTTATGAGCACTATGAGGGCCTGAAACATAACCCATAGGGGACAGTGTTCGACAGCTTCAATGGATCATGGATGAGGCCCAAACTCATGTCTGATTTTAATCCATAAGAGTATTTGGTCCATTTTGAAAGAATGGATGGGTTGGAAATGCAGTTCCTGTAACGTACATGCTAAAGGTGTTTGCAAGTTTTTGACAATCAGCACAGTTAGAAGCAAGAAAATAAAAACACCCCTACTATAACCTAACACCAGCAGGAAAAATATTTGGCTGAAACTTTAGGTGTGAATTATACTTGCTTAAGCTAGAACAAAAGGACAAAAACATCAAAATCTAGTAATGTTGAAACAAGGAAGGTTTAGCTCTTTAAAAAGAAAGGAAAGATAGACATTTGAGGTAACAAAACAAAAAAACCAAAATGCACAAACACATCACAGACATCTAAAAATAGCATTTTATACATTTTTTTGCCAGTGCTTCTCTGAGAGCAAGTTCTTTAAACAGAACTTAACAATTTTACAATTTTTTTTAAAAAAATATGTCATCCTAAAATAGCCCATCAATCCTTACCCAAACTTTCTGTATTTCTACAAAAATAGATGCACAAATAGCTACAAAATACTGTATTCCTGAAAGGAGGCGCACTGTGTCAAGGGAGAGTCTTTTTCCTGACAATTGAGACTGTTCATAAAAATATCAAGCTGAACAAAACAAAACACTGTTAAAGGAGCAGAAAGGAGTTAGGTTGCCCAGCTGCAGCAGGCTCAGATGAGGAAAGAAAGAAAAGTTAGGTTTTTGTTTTTTTTCCAACACTGTGGGACCCATAAACGGCCTTACAAACATAAGGCTCAATAGCAAAACCAGAATGGTTGGCTCTTCATATTCATGTGTGTCCTTTGCCCCATGCAGAAGGAGTCAACAGTTGTTATATCGCCCGCTCAGCTACGCTTGCTCCAGCTCTAGCTGGTCTTAATTTAGCCGGATTTCAGAACCAAGAAGTTTCCTTGCTCTTGTCCTGATGCTGTAGACCTACATTTCAGAAGAGAAAAAAAAAAATTAAAATTTGATAGAGCTTTTTCCTCCCCCTCCCCAAGCAACTGAAATAAGGATAAACATTTTTCGTTTAAAAAAAAAAAAAAAAAAGAAAAAAAATCCCACAACTTACCTAGTGGACTTGTTAGTAACATTGCTATTGCTCCCAGTTTTATAGTTTATGTGGGATAAGCTTAAACCACACTTAAGTTTTAGCCTGGCTCAAGCAGTTCAGGAATGCTGATAAAATCCTCTGTGTGCTTCCTTGGTTTTGCCTCGTTTGGAGCATGGCATGGCATGATAAAATCCTCCAGCAAGGTCCACACAGACAATCCAGTATGTAACAGAATAATTTTTCCTGTTAGGGGCCAGCCACAGACCCTACCTCTTTTAGAAAAGGCCTGTGACACTTCAGGATCTCACAGTTTCTGCAGAATTTCACCTTACAGAGGAGAGAGGGAAAATGTTCCTGCAGCAAGTAAAAAAACCCAAATCATTTCACCTACAGAGCGTCAGATTTTTAGCCAAGAACGGCTAGTGCTTCCACATGGGAAAAATTAATGATTTTCAGCTTGCATTTGTTATGAGTTCCTCTAACATTTTCCTTTATAAAAAGTGAGGACTATCTAATAAATGTGGTGCTATGTTGTGGCTTTAGCATTATAGACTTGGAACCTGTGTTATAATCTGGGATTTCTCTGCTCCAGAGGGATTCAATCTTCACTAGATTTACACCCAACAGGGCGTGTACCTAAAATCCAGACAATAGAGAGGGAGGTGAGGATGAAACTTCCCAAAGAAGATACATTCTTGCTCATTTATAGGGAAAGTAGAAAGGAGAGAGGTGCAAGCACATATTTTAAGAGGTAGTAAGGCACTTAGGACTTGCTGATTTAAAACCTGCCCCTTGACGTTTTGAGCCAAACAAATCACATTTTGTGAAATGAAGGTGCACTTCCCACTGTAAATCATCGTTGCTATATAGACAGCAATGCTCCACTCTCTGTCATACTATATATTGCCCTGCTACATAGTGCACCAAGACCAATGCATCAACTACCTGATCCACTAAGAATTTAGGGCCAATTTCACTACTATTTTAAGTAGGTGCAACTCCAGAACTCAATGATGTTGCAACCGCTGAAGCTCCATGTTCATTTGATCGTTAACCTGTGAAAATTGACAGATCCATGTGCTAAGCATGGATCTCTCACTTCCATATCTGAACACATAGTGAAACACAAAGGAAGACCTGCATGTTTTCAGAAAGCCTAATAGGCATGATAGGTTCAGATCTGACCACCACCTCCTTGTTTTAGGAGTACGAAGAGTTAAATCTTTAATGATGATCAACATCATTTCAGGGTTGAGCTACAAAGCAATTAACAGTCACATAAAAGATGACAGCATATGGCTCTATCCACGTGAGGATTCCCAAGCAGTGTCCAAACACTTGTGTCCAGCAGTGAACAGATAAGGAAAGCAGAGCACACAGGTATAACATGCCAAACCCTGTTCAGTGGCTTTCTGCTCCATTTCATAAGCACTTGCACCTGTTCCTTTAGATTGGAAAAACTGAGATATCCCTCAACTAAAGCATGCCTACAAAAACATGTTTAGAGGCTCTTTACTCAATGAGGATGTCTCCTTATTGCTTACGAGTTACTTGTTTTCCTGGCAGCATCATTCACAGGCAAAGTCATCATAAACTGCTGTTAGTTTCCTTCAAAGCTCCCTCAAAGTTAGCGATGACAGTTTTGTGTTATTTTTCCCCTGCTGTTTACAATTTTTTTAAACAAAGACAACAACAATAACAAAAAAGAGGGAGTCAGACAGCAGAAATCTTTCAGAGTGTAAGGAGGTCATTTAAGTTCACCAGTGGAGCACTGAAGGCCACCAGAGGCAATGGAAGCTGATGAGAAGAGGAACAGGTTATATGGCTCCCAGCAGCTTAGGAAAAAAAAAAAAAAAAAAAAAAAAAAAAGACACGCACACCTGTTTAAGAGGGTGTCCACCTGATGGTAGCAACTGGTAGAAGGGGAATAACCAGCTGAACAGACACCTTCCTTTGTGTCTAGGTGTCTTTGCACCAAACAGAAATAACTGTAAGAAGAAGGTTTAAGGTATAGCTATTAAGTCTAAACAGCCACGGAAAACAATCCAAAAAACCAAAGTTGCCTTAGTTACAGAACTGAATATGGAACACTTTCCATGCCTTTTCCTCATTATATTCCCATCTCCTTCATGGCAAGGCTATCTGCAGCCTTAATATGTCATCCAAGCGCAACACTGCTGCTAATCAAAAGCTTTCACTTGCAGCCTGCTGCAAGAACATTTTCCTCTTAGCAAAGAAATCCCCACTTGCGTCACATGAGTCAGTATTGCCACACAGCACAACCCCCCGTCTCTGGGATACCAATGTTATAGCTAACTGCCACACAAGCAGAATGCAGGTTCTGTGGGAACATCTAAACAAACTTAATGAGTTGTGACAAACTTGTGGGGTGTGTGTGAACAGAGACAACTTTACAGAAGGCAGTAGACTGACCGTTCAAATTCCATATTCAACGCGACGCACTGACGTATGGGCATTTCCAAAAGTTGACTTTCCATAGTTAGCCAGGACTAGAGGATGTTGATGAATTCACCTAAATTTAAAGTTATGCACCTCAATGTACATAATTTTGCATGAGAAAGGATGTGCACCTCAGTTTTAAGATAGACCTAAAGCCCTCAGATATGCCAAAATCCTGCTCTGCTTTTAGTGCGCTGGGGCTACAGGAAACCTCCCCCAGCACATCTGTCCAACAGCAGGACAGGATATCCTCCGAGGCTCTGCAGTAGCACGGCAAGTTGCTCTGCTTTCCTCCCCACAGGGCTCCCCGCAGACCTGGCAGCTGCCAGCTCAGCCATATACGACTGACCACCTGAAGTGCCCGGTGTGCAGGGCAGCCTCCTGCCCTGCTCTTGAGGAAAACACTGATGGCCATAACCATCAGCTCCACTGCAAGACAGCAGCTCCCCTCCCTGCCTCCCTGGTCTTCAGTGCTGAACTCGGCTTGCACACTCTTAACATAAACACGAGGATTTAGCCCCGACACTGTGGGATTATGGCTGTAGCAATGCTCTCTGTACGCATGCCATGAACTGCAGTCAATGCTGTTAGAGGATGACCTTGCTTTGCTTGACATCAGCAGGGCAGGGAATTGTGGTCTAAAGCACAAACATGTTGTGCTTATAGCAATGTGTTTATATCAATGCTTGATATAAAACATACTTTTATATTGAGCATTATAGCTTGGGCACTTCAGCTTCAGAAAGGCACTGCACACTAGCAGCCACAACCATAACGGGTTTTAAGAGATTTTTGATGTACACTAGCATTTTCTTTAATCCCACTTGTATCAATAGAGAAGCTCCCAAAAGAGTTAATTTGCAGCATGCAATGTGAGGATTAAGCCACATGTAATGGGAATCAGGTAGCTAAACCTTCATCCTCTAAAATAGGACCATGTAAGTTCAAACAGATGTGCAAGACAGATCAATACTTTGTTAGCTCTATGACTGGCGATACGCTGATGTCCCACACAATCTGTTCTGAAACATAAATTCCCAAACTATACCATGCATGCAAGGGGAACCCCCTCTTAACCTTTGAAGTGATTCAGCACCATCCATTCATGAGATCGAATATTTGGCTTAGTATGGCAGAGATGCAACAATGTAGCTGGAAGAGGGTAAGATTACAGCCACCCTGCCCTGATCCCAACACTATCATTCCATATAATTCAGCGTGAGGAATTTTGCAAATGTTTCTATAATCGCATGTGACAGTAGCACAAGAAATGTGACCCACAGTAAGGGGGGGTGTGTCATTTTCATATCTGAAGAGCTCTGAAAAACAATGTCTAGATATATATCAAATGAGCTTTTTTAATATAAATCATCTGAAGCTCATGGAATCTGATATATTGACAGCTCCACAGGTTGTCTTTTATTCACCAGGAATATATGAGCAAAGATTTCCAGAACTGAAGTTGCCTTGCCACTATGGCCTTACCCTACTCTGAAGAAACCATTTCTACGCTGCAGAAAGCCAGTACATTCTTCCAGGCGTTTCAGTTTTTAGCCTCTCTGTTGAGATTGCTGTCTCCCATTAGAGTTAAATGTAATGAAATTCTGTGTGATGTGGAGACTTATCCAGTGCAATCCTCCCCTGTAGTGGACATGGAGCAAGAAAAGCTTCGACTGTGCTGGTGAGTGCTGGATGCTTCAGTGTGGTGCTTCAGCAGCCCCCTCCTCTCCCCTGCAGCACAACACACCTTCCCTGGGATGACACCATTTGAGATGCATGCAAAACACTGGGGCCATTAAGCTCCCTCTTTTCACCATGATCAGCCTCGAATGCCTGTCACCAAAGCATTTGTCTCAAATCTACAAGCTGCCGGCAAGGCTGAAAAGGGAGCTCAGAGCCTTCCTGCCCTTCCCAGCAAGCCTCTGCTTGGAGAGCACAGGAGAGATGAGTCTGCAGGGTAAGAAAGCAAATAAATGTAAAGTCACAGGCTACCACTACCTGCTGTGTTTTGTTGCTTACTCCCTTGTTTCCAAAGCCTTACATGCCAAACTGGGGCTGCCTGATAAGGTTTTGCTGTTGTGTTTCAGTGAATGGCTATTTTGAATAGTCACAAACAAGTGAGACATTGCTCTGCTGAAATCCTCTGTTCCTGCAAACTAGTCACACATTTCCCTTCTTTCTTTTCCCCTACAGGAACTCATGGACTAAAACCCACACATCAGGCATGGGCCAGAAATTAACAGTTCAGGCCTTCTCCGCTGCCTCCCACACTGAGTAGACAACTACAAGACATGCAAGCCACTGTTAAGCACTGCCAAATCAGGTTCCTGATAAAATTAGCATCCAACTGTACCCCTCCACAGGGATCTTCACAAGAAGCAGGCAGCACCAGGCAAAGGCTATGTTAGTCCTGTAAGGCAGTGCTAGGACCCACAGTCCTTTTTGAGGTACTGTGCTCCTACAGAGAAGAAAAAAAGCACCTGGTTTATTACACATACTACTACCAACAAAGTAGCCATAAGCAAACCGACTTGCTCAGCACTGAAACAACTCACAGCCTTGGCTGGACTCATACCTAAGCGAGGTAGTAGTTTCTCCTGACTAACAATCCTTTATGCAGTTCTCGGCTCCACCCCCAAAAGGTAAGTCAAATACCAGAGCTCTGGAGCTGGACTGCTGGGGCTACTGTCAGACCAGGGGGCTCGGCCCCTCTGCCAGTGGCAGTGACAATTTGCTCATGCTTTAGAGAAGGCAGCTCACTCCCATTATGGAATTTGTCAAAGGCAAAACTTGAGATGCCAGTCTTGTCAGATTATCATTTTATACCCAAAAGCATAAAATGTAATTCATCTTGTATCATTGGCATGGCTGGAAATATTATTAACAGGTATAAAATTGTCCAGTGTTAAGAATCCTATTATGCTTTTTCTTAATTTCTTGAAGCAGCAAGTGGCATGGTATTTAGAAGAGATTATTGGTTCCCAGTTGCTATTAAGGGAAGAGAGAGAGATTTGTGTTAGGTTAGCTCAGTCATAATCAGGTTCATATTATTTCATATGTAAGAAACAGCATTTTTTTCTCCACCAATTCTGTGTTCCCCCGCACACTTGATCAAAGCAAGGAAGTGCTTCTCACACATTGAATCAGTTAGCTAGAGCTATCAAGAAGACAGACAAACGGATACCTTAAGGAAAAAGGAAGAGAGATGCAAACCTAGTATTTCCTTAATAAATAACATAACGTGTTTAAGAAGTGCTAATCTACAAGGATTGCTGCTGTTCAGATAAATACTAAGCAGAAAAAGGAGACCTCAGTAGTGCATATGAGCTTCAGGATGGATCCGCTGGAAACTGTTAGTCACCCATAACCTGATCGCAAGCAACTATGAACAGTGAGGGCTGCTAGACTGCTCCTGAGACTGCGATGAGAGCTACTACTCAAAGCTCGCAGATGCAGACATAGTTTATGAGGGCTGTCCTATGGCTACAGACCCTGCAGTAAAATGAATCTAATTCACAGACCTCAGCCTAGACCCTACAGAACAAGTTTAGTTTGATGCTGAGCACAGCTCAGCCAGCATCTCTACTTTCTGTGTGACACCTGGATACTACACAGGAAGGAAATGCTGATCTGTTCCAATTTAGATGAGTAAGATGCAATCCTTACGTACTGACAAGTTATTAGTTCAGTCCTCATTGGAGCTGTATTTTGATGAATGCACATGTGAACTAGGTGAAGAAGCTGGAAGCTTCTACATGGAAGTCTAATTGACCATTTCCCACAAGATTTAAACCAAAAAACACATATCATGTCACAACTCATTTGGCTTGAATGGGACCAAGGCAGACAAAGGTCTCTCAGCAAAAGGCAGCAAGAGCTGGATGTTTCACAGCTCGTCTGCCCTGGCAGCAATTTCAGGAGGGATTCACACCTGGATATATATTTGAAGAAGACTGAGAACAAGCCCTGCTTCAGCTGCAGGGATTCCACTTCTTTCCTCAAATTCTTCCTGCTAAAACAAGTCACAGACACAATTGAACCATCTTACCTGTGTCAAACCCAAAACTTGGCACAATATCCACCGTTCCATGAAAGGCTCCAGCCCATGCTGAGGTAGCGCTGGTGACAGCAGCAGGATCTGTCTTTGTCACGTCACACTGGGGAGCGGGAATCCTGGCTGCGCGGACTGAAGGCATCAGCAGGGACCCGTACCGGGGGTCGCGGTGAGAGCTGGGATGATGATGGTGCATGTGTGGATGAGGGTGATGGCGATGCATGTACACGTCATGCATGTGTGCATACGAAGGGCTCACCTGAGATGCTAAAGGATAATGCCAGGATTCAGATGCAGCAGGGGGAGGAGGTGGGGCAGTCTGATGAAGGCCGTGTCCTGGCCAGTTGCTGGGATCTGGTGTTGGGAAGGTGCCTGGTGCAGTAACAGGGAAATCAGGGTGCACTCCACTTAAGCATGGTGGAGGGGGAGGCTGATAAGAGCTGGTCCAAAATGAAGTTGGGAAACTGCTCCTTTGGCTTGAAATTGTTGAGGTTTCTGGTAGAGAGGAGAGAAATGAAGTATGACTGAAGCTGAACAACAAATTTAATGACAAAAAATGCACAATGATTTTCTACTCTTTCAAATTCCTAACACCGAACTCAAGCTTCCCCAGCAATTACAGAATCACAGGACAGTTGAGGTAGGAGGGGACCCTCTTGAGATCACCTAGTCCAACCCTCCTGCTCAAGCAGGGTCACCTGGAGCAGGCTGTGCAGGACCGTGTCCAGTCAGATTTTGACTGAGATCCAAACTCCACAACCTCTCTGGGCAACCTGTTCCAATGTTTCGCCATCCTCAACAATTAAAAAAAAAAAAAAAAAAAAAAAAAAAAAAAAAAAAAAAAAAAAAGAAAAACAAACAAACAAACAAAACCCCAACTGTTTTCTTGTGTTCAGATTTCTAATTCATGCCTGTTGCCTCTCATCCTGTAAGCAAGCATCGCTGAGGAGAGCCTGGCTCCATCATCTTCATTCCCTCCCACCAGGTACTTGCACATATTGGTAAGATCCCCCCGAGAAGAATTCTCTTCTCCAGGCTGAAGAGTCACAGCTCTCTCAGGATCTTGGTACAGGAATTATGAGGAGAGGGTAACTCCTGACTGGACCAGAACACATCATTTAGAAAGACAGCTGTTTTGGCTGTAAATGCTTCTGAGGACAGAGAACCAGGTCACACTGCAGAGTATGAGACATTTGGCTAAAGGAAGAATACCAGATCTTCTCAAACTAATTGCATGCTTTGATGGGATAAAGATCATATCTAATGCATCTTATGTTAGTCCCTCATCGAATATATCATGTTGCCTTGTACCCAATAGGATCTGACAAGCAGAATCATCTATGTAACTGAAAGAAGTTTTTGTCAGAAATAAAAAACTCGGTGCTTCTTACAGCTAGGGCTCAACTTATATTTAAATGGATTCCAATACCTCTACATTATGAAATCACATTCTAAAAATTCTTCTTTTGAAGAAGCGGTTAGTGTTTTTGATGTATAGGAAAGATTTGGCATCTCCATTCTCACAATCCTCTTGCCAGGTCATGTTTGAAAGTACTGCTTCATGCAATATGTCTCAGCTCAAATAGGGGTTTTTTTGGTCAAAGATGGAAGCATAAAAATTCAGGACTTTACCTCTGATGAAAGAGCAGTCATAAAAATAGCCTACGGAGAAATAAAGCCAGGGAAGTTTAATATTTGATGAGGCGAGGAATCCTCTGTTCCTCATATAACATTTACAAAAATATTTATATTCTTTTTTTTAAATGACCTTTTGTTTTGCTTTGTTTAACAAGCAACTGGAATGAGACTTGGGTGAAGACACCATTGAGAATGAACAGATTCTTCAAACACTCCTCCCTCTGAACTTTGCTTATGCAAAAATATTTTGGAAACAAAAACCGTAAAAGTGTTTTCTGACTGCATCACTAGGACACTTATGTATCTGTTTTAAAATCCATTAAAATCATAGAAACTTTTTCCACACATCAGTTGGCTTTGATTTAGCAGTTTATTGAGCCTGATTAACTTCCGATATTGGAAATAAACTTTGCAAATGTACTATGGATAAACACAGAGAACTTCTCTGTGCTAAACCGCTTCAGAGGCTGCAAGCTTATCTAGCAGACTGTACTCCAACATGGCTTTCTTCAAAGGTTGCTGCTTTTTTTAGCAATGTATTTCTATTGTAATTCATGCTGGAAGACTGGAGAGAGCTTCAAGCATATAACAGAAGTCTCAGCACCCCTCTGAAATTGGTATTGTTCCTTGTTTGTAAATTGTTCCTTGTTACAAGGGATTAGGCTGAGATGGAGAGTGCACATGGCTTACAGTGCTGGCAGCAGGGCTGACAAAAAAAAAAAAAAACAAAAACAAGCTTCTTCATGTGCAGTCTGTTGTTTTCTTCACTGCTTAATAGAGGAGCACAGCTTGAGAAGGCATTGCCAGTATTCTGGAAAATTAATCTCTGTAATCGAGAGTTTTTGGAAACTATCTGGCTGTTATCTGTATGGAAAAGCCCTAAATCCAAACCATCTCACTTCAAAAAAGCACAGAAAACCACAAAGTATCTGCAGGACAACTTTAATACCAGGAGAGAGCACTTGAAACCACTGGATTTGCCAGTACAAATTCACCCCAGATTGCATACCAGCTTGACTTTACCAATCATGCAGAAGGCTTAGGCCACAGAAAACATGTCTGGTCATCTCCATTTTTCAAACCTGCGCACATTTCACAAAGCCATTACCACTGTCAGAAACTGTCATGGATCAGCCCCCGCCGAGAGACCACTGAGTGTAACTGCAGAGACCAACCTCACTGGTCAAGGTCAAGTCATGTCACTGGAGATACAGCGTCCATTCAGGTTATATGAACATGTAAGAAAAATTCATCCACCTTGAGTGCTCACAGAGGATGTTACTAAATATTAAGTGTGCAGAAACCCCATCAACAAGAACCATCTGTGTTGAACCACAACCCCCAACCACCACACATTTCCACGGTGTTTGAAGTATCTCCTTTCCTTCCCACCTTTAAAACAGTGAGGACAACCAATTATCTTTACAGATACCATCATGTCAGATACCTGGCCTTTATGGGACATGGCAATGGAGAAACAGTCATTTCAGCACTGTCCTTGAGAAAGAAATAAAAATAATCTGAGTAGCTTCCACAGGTTTTCAGGAGTAGGGAAATTTTTTTTAATTTAACAAAAATTGTCTGCTAGGAAAGATACTACAGTTACCACAATTTCCTATTCTAAGTACAGGGAGGCAGGGAGATGGCAACATCTCGGATACCACGAAGTGGTGACTAATGCAAATGTTCATGGTGGCTGGCCAACATGCACTGAAAATATGCCAAAGCACACATGTTGTAAAGAAGACAATGTATGGAATTTTCTGTAGTACAACATTACTTCTCAGTTAAGGCAGGAGGGAAAATAAAAAAAAAAAAACACAACAACAAAAAATAAAACCCAAGAAAGAAAAAAAACCAACCCTTTCAGCTAGGAAGAACATGTTGATAAAAATACCATTAAGGTAACACTAGTTTCAAGGTACCATTAGTTTCATTAGCTCCTGCAAAAGATTTCAGGTAGCTACACCTACAATTGAATATTCCAGGACAACAGGTTCCATTTCCTATACATAAGCAAAATCCCTTCTAGAAACAAAAAAAAAAAAAACCCTGACAATATCACCTTAATGATGAAATTACAGTTTGGTCTGCCATCAGAACACTAAAAAGCCCCACAAAAAGATGAATAAAAAAGCAGAAAGCATTACTAATCCCTCCTTTCAGGTAGAGGAGAAATAACGCAGTGCGCTGAGTAGCCAGTTCATGCCCACACACTTTCCCTTTAAATCCGTACCTTCCAAAATAGCTATTGCAAATGCAAAAGCTTTTTTTTTTTTTTTTTTAATCTAAGAGTAATTTATTGACAAAAATTCTGACTACCCATGAAAGTTATTTATAAATAAGATCTTCAAGCTAATGATATTTTAACTTCTTTAGGTAATGGGATAAAAATTCACATCCATCTGCTGTAACTGAGCATCTTTGACAACTGTACATGAACCAGAAGACTAAGGTGTTAGCATCGCTCCTTCCCCACTTTTTTCAGGCAGGCATGTTTCAGAAACTCATTTGGGCCTGATAAATTCTTGTCAGCTTCTCTGCTCTGGAGAAGCAAATACCCTCAGCTTTCTCAGCATCCACAATACAGAACCAAACTGCCCTGCCCTGCAGCCTCCCTGGGGATTTTCATACCACTTCAGCAGGTGCAGTGACAGCAGAGGGCATATCCCCTTACTTTATTCCCAGAAGACTTTTAGGACATGCAGACCTCCATTCCTCGCCGATGGCAAGGGGCACACTGGGTCAGGAGGAAGCATGGCTGAAGAACCCTTATGCCAGGCCACTGCGTCCCCTGCAGAGCCCTCTGGGGAGGGCTGTGCAACCACAGGGGGAGCCAGGGAAAAACAGCAAGGTATGTCTGAGGCCAAAGAGAAGACACACAACCCCACCCATGGTATGTCTCGACGCTCAGTGAAGAGGGCTTGCTGTAGGCATGGGGTCTCTGGGGACTGCTTTGATCCCATCTCTAAAACATTTATAGCCTGTCTGGGCCATTTATAAATGCTCAAGTCTTCTTTTTAGTAAGCATAGGTTCAATCCTGCTCTCAGTCGCGTCGATGGAAAATTTCCCATTAACATTAATGGTCCCGGCTCAAGCCATAAATTCCTCTAGCTCCCTAGCCGCTTGTGCTGACCTTTGCTTAAACTTCCTTGGATTTGTCATCATCCTTCTGGAAAGCAAGCCCTTCTGTGCTATTTTTCTCTTCACAGCGGTTTCCAAAAATCCTGTCTCTCTTTATTATCTGTGACTTTCATCAATACACTCTCACCTAAACATCGCTGATTATGAACACCACCCCCCCTACAAAGATCCTCACAGTATCTCTCTCAGTCAACCCAATGCAAGGCCACTGCTCACAACACTTAGTTCGCGGCCCTTTGCCAGTCCACATAAGGACATGATCAGAAATAACACAGCTGTGGTTCTGAAAAACTACCCAGACTGCCACATTCAACAAAAGGGAAATGGCGTCTTACTGGTACGTTTTCTCCAGCCACCAATTCTGAAATCTTATCCATAAGGTCTACCTAGTTTATCTGGCAAGATCTGCTCTTTGTTACGTTGATCACACTTATATGCATTACAAAACATAAGTGATATATCAGTATGCAAATGCCTCACAGTATCTATCATGTGTCTACTCCCTGCTGGGAAGCAGAGTACACCGTCCCCATTTTACACACAGGAAGCCAGTAGCGATGGATGTATCTCCCCCATGAGCAGGCTGCAATGCACCAAACCACATGGCTGCAGCCACGTGGGCCAGGGCTTGCACCCAAGCCCGTTCCAGCATGTGCTGGCTCCTCCCTACCTGGAAAGCAGCCGTTGATGAATCTTAATCGCCTGGCAAAGTCACCCGAGAAGGCTGCATGAGTCTCCTCACGTCCAAGGCCAACATCCCAAACAGCTTTGCTCTTGCCTCACATGCCAAGTTTCATAATTGGAGCTTAAAAGTAAGCTCCAACCTTGCAGCAGACATTTGTGAAGCCATATGAGCTCTGCCCTGTTCTTTCCAGTCCTCAGCAGAGCTGCGGGCTATGGCAAGAGGGGGAGATGCCTGCTTCTTCCATGCTTTCGGCACCTCTTTCCCCTTTTAATACTTTAGATCACTCAACCACAAGAAGCAACTCAGTTCTTTCAGATTTGAGGGGGATTTTTCCACCTCCCCAGAGGAGCAAAATTTCAGCTGCAATGCAATATGCATTACCACGACACAAACCGAGAAAGCCACACCACAGAGAGCAAGTTACTTCTCCTCTTACCTCTCCACAGAGGACTTAGACCTGCCTTGCTCTTGGTAAGGGCAGTTTCTGGATTGAAGCTACTGGCTTGGCTCAAAGCTCTTGAGAAGTGTTCATCCACTACTGAACCAATGTCTCCCTGGAAGTAAGTGAAAAGGACGCAGCGAGAGTTAAGGTACTCCATCTCGGCAGGCTGGTCTTTCTCATCCTCCTCTTGCTTGCTGGGAAGGGTCACTTCCAGAGATTCCTGCATCTTGTTGTATACAGCTAACTTCTTCTGGGATTAAAAACAAAACAAACAAGAGATGTATCACTGATGGCATTCAGTGCAAGCTCAAAATCTGGTTTCCTTAAAGAAAAATAACTGAATACATTGAATATTCATTTCATAATTACAGTTGGAATACAGGGATATTTTGCACTAACATTTCACAAAGAAGAGATTACCAGCGCCACTCAGAGTTTTTACTCCTCACACACAGATGGACCTGCTTCTCAGGCACATTTCACAACCACAATTTAACGACAATGGCTTTCACTCAATACCTTCAAAAGAAAACACTCAGGCTCTAACAATTCACTCCTGACTCCCACCCAGTGAGGATATTCCCATCAGTAAAGGCTACAGAGCTCAAGTCCAGCCCTGCAGAAGGGTGGCCAGATACATACAATGTCTGCATTTCACCTGTCTAGCTGAACACGCACCAGGTTTTGCCGGCCGTGCTCCTTCAGTCGAAAGCCCATGGCCCTCTAGACTCCCCACATCTACTCGTTGCAGAAGGCGTAAAGATGGGAGAATTTGGTGCTTCCTGAAAAATTTTCCACTGTATTATCAAAGTCCACAAAATACATTAATTCTCACTCACTGCCAAGAAAATTTTTATCATAGGAAGGTATACCTTAGGGTTGTGAGTAGGGTTTGGGGGATGGGGGTTGAGAGGGTTTTTTTTGTTTGGTTGGTTTGGGGTGGTTTTTTGTTGTTTTTTGGGGGGTTAGGGTGGGATTTTTTTTGCCCCTTTTTTCTTTTTATTTTTTTAAACATCAGCTTCTGGAAAAAAGGACAAAAATTCAAGTCATAAAAAATTAAACATGTGATCTGGGGGAAGAGGGGGATTGACAAGTCTGCAAACACATGCAAAAAAAATCCACCCCAAACCAAAAACACAGAGAAGCATATTAAAAAAAAAAAAATGCACAAGCCATCTGTGAATGGCTATTTCAGAATCTCCCCTCTCTCTCAAATCAAACCTAAATGTCAAAATAAATGTGTGTGAAGATCCATTTTGCATGGAACATATTTTTCAGATGTTCCACTTTACAACTGTTTTCACAGAAAAAAAAAAAAATCTCCCCACAAGAGTCAAGCTGCAGGAATCATAGCTTTTAGCTAGCTAGCCATTTCCACAGCTGACTTTACACACAAGCAGCTTCAGGAACCCCAAAACAACTACAGCACATATGCAGAAGTATTTCATAGCTTTTTCTATAGAATTACAGTTTGACTTATCTTTTATGGTTTGCTTGGCAACACTTTAGCGCCATCAGAATCTCTTTAAGCTTATGGCTTTTTTCGCTTTTTCCAAAGTCGTTCTAAAGAACAAGTTAAACAGCTACACAGTCTATAAAGTTCCATTTATACAATAAATGGAGTTGTCCGATTTAGAAATAATTGAAGGTCATTTTCCGATCTTGTATACCATCAATATATTTACATTCAGTGCTTTCTAAAATCACATAAGCCAATACAAATTCTCTCATTATGATACAATATAGATACTCAGGGGCTAATTTTTAATTATGAAAGGTTATGAAAAATTAATTGTAAGAAAGAGCTATTGACAAGTGGAACTAAAACCTGTAATACTAAAAGCTCATAGAAATTAAGCAATGTATCTGACATTACAGTAGAACAGCTCAGTAATACCTTTAATTCTGATGCTGTTACACAAACTGCAATGAGGGATGTAAGTAATTTTATTTTTCAGTTTGGGATATCTAAACAATGGTCTGGAATTCAAGTAGATCTGTGCTTCACAAAGCAAGTTATACCGTGGCTCTGCTTAGCACAATATTACTTATTTAGACATACGGGTTTATCCCCAAATCCTATAATATATAAAGAAAAACTGTGAGATTCACTTTAAAAAAAGAAAGAATCAAAGATGGAAACACCAAATTAAAAAAATTTTGCTAGAAACTAATTGCTAAAAAGAAGCGTATCCTGAGGCTCTGAAACTAATTTTTGCAAATGCAAAATTGGGGGTGACCTATACTTTGTGCCTTCTGTAAAGAAAGAAAAATTCTCCTAATGTTTGTTCCTGAAATGCTTCCTAAGATATTACTCATAGTGAGCTTCACAGTTTTGCCTAAGTAATCATGGAACGATGAGACCTTAGTAAGACAGAAATGGTTATAACAATATTGCATATACAAGAGATATATGCGTAAGAAATCTGTAACACATCTACCTCAGGGACCTGATCATTCCTAAAGGTGCGCCATAACTCAGATCCTCTTAAAAATGCAAGACAAGTGGTTGGGGAGTGTGCTTTTTTCATTTTTGTTTTTTGGTTGGGTTTTGGTTTTTATGTAGAGGCAAAGTATGAAAGAGATCCTTTATAGAAGTCTAAATAGATATTGATATATTACGACATCTCAGGTGCAGTGTATATGCCAGACCTTGAATACATGCAACACATTTAAAAGTTGACTTCTATCATTGTAGGTACACTATTTGTATTTATACTGTGAGTATGCAAATACATATACAAGCACGCAATTATATACAGAAACACATCATTTAATATAGCCCCTGGCTTGACTTGGTTATCAGGAAGGAAGTCTTTCAATGTTCCTATATAGAGACTGGAGCTCAGGAAATTAAAATTTATCTCCAGAGTCGCTTCTCTGTGCAGGAATGTTCCCTCTTCCACAGCCTAAGAATCTAATTCGTTTTCCATTTCAACTCTCTTCCCTCCCCTCCAGTCCATGGGCAGTCATTACAAGATATTCTGAGCACTTGTTGGTTTTGAAAACACCAAATCTGACTTTTTTTTTTTTTTTACGTAAAAGAAAAAAGAAAGTAGTACTGATGGACAAGTACAAGGCCTTGTTAAATGGACCGAAATTATTTACAGTGAAAAGTTGTGTTTCGTGGTGAGTTTTTTTGCAAAGGATGAGAGTTCCAAATTAAAAGACTTTTCAAAACTGCATCAAGCCTGTGATCTGATACAGATCTACTTAATTTGTATTTCAGGAAGAAATTGTCAGCCTGTAATTACAGGACTCTAAGTAAGAGACTACAGTAGAGATAAAGTGACTCAAGAAGTTTTCCTTGTATGCAACATAGATACATCCTTTCCATTGTATACATCCTTTAATAATGTTTTTTCTCCCCCTAGCTCCCTTAAAATACCCTGCCTGCACACAGATTCTATCTTACTCGTTCTGACCTTAACAGTAATCTTCTCAAAGCATTTCTGACTGCACTTGTGTGAGTGGCAAAGTATGCAAGATCATCAACTGCTAAATTAATTTGTCCCAGCATCATGGGGTGGGGGGGAATAAAACAAAACTAACAAACAAAACAGGTTAGATGTCTGATAACTAATCTGGGCTAGCCCGGTTTCACTTGTACTTTTTTCATGTGAACAGTTCTGGCATACATTTAAGCAGCCAACAGTATCCGTAAGAACTTTACAAAGAGTATTTTCTGACTAAACACAATGTTATTTCTTTCCTATGTTCAGATCTTCAATACTTTCATATATTCATGAATTTCACATTTCTCTCCCTCAAAAACTAAAGACTGAGATTAAGCAGCCTCTGAAAAACAAAACAAAAAACACACAAAATCTCATCTTGGCCAAAACGCAGAATATAAAATTAAAAGTCAGCTTAGTGTACTGGGAAATAGGGAAATCCAATGTCTATAGCACGCGATGCCAGCTTAGATAACAGACCCAAGTTCGTGGCCAAAGAATGAATGGTACAACCTCTGTGTAAATAATGCTGTACAGCATGGGCTGAATTCAGCTTAAACCAACATTGTTATTTCATATATTCCCAAACAGGCTCTTCCAAATAGAATTTGAACTCTTACTGCAAGCTGTCTAACAAAAGGAAACTAAAGGTCAATAGCAAACCACCACTAATATGGCAATACTACAGAGAAGGTTTATGCTAGATAAGTGTGTCCAAAATCTCACAAAAACCCCCGTCTTGAAGATGCCTGTTATTTTCTGCCATGCCCTATCCAGAACCAAGCAAAGCGGCTCTCATGCAGTGAAATTCTGGCCACATTAAAGCCAATGGCAAAAGTCCAACTGACTTCAAGGGTCCAGGATCTCACCCAGGGTGTCTGGTAAGAATGTCAGAACATTCCTCTTCGCAAATTGAAAAAAATTCACTTCCAGCTGAAACCAGCTAGTAGGCAGCAAAACAGAAAAACAGTCGAGCACGGTTGAGAATGGAGAAAGTTTTAGTTTAGCCAAATTTGAATTGAAAATTCAGGCCAGCTCTTATTTTACGTATAAGCTGGTTGCCTATTCCTACAACTTATTATCTCCATACATGCCATCATACAGCATATGGTCCTTTATGTTCCCAAGCATGAAAGTCTGGTGTGTCTGTGGCCACCTGTTACAGATTTTCCATTACGGGAGAAAGAACAGGAACCAAAAATAAAGAATAACTACAGTGAGGAAACACTATATGACCCTATCCTGAGAAAAAGGCTGTCATTTGACATAAGCTTCTGAGAAGGAATTTCAGCAACCATCTCCAGGCAAATCACGGACAGTTCTCCATTTGTGGAGCTGTCTGCTAAGCAGGCTCCTACTGATAACACAGAAAGTATTCAAGGAAGAAGACAATTTCAAGCAATCAGAGCATGGAATGCTGGGCCTGAAAGCGGTATTTACGGCATGCCCTGAAAACATGAAATGCTAACTTCTACCCTTGCAAACGAGCAAGCCGAGAGCAAAGCCACATGCTTGCTTTCAGGTGAGCTGCTGGATTTGCAGCAGTAGAGCCTGGAGCTCCCGCTGTGCTCTGCTGATGGGGGAAGCAGCAGAAAAAGAATGAATTTATACATCATTTGCTGTACATCTAAACAGAGGTGTACCATTAAAGTCTAAAGCTCTATTTTTATGTAGATAGAGGAAGATCAAACAGAATTTGGTCCCAAATCAGAACAACAAAGTAAAGCAAGCCAAATTTTTTAAATCAGTAGTGTCTCATGGGATTAAACAAAACAAAACAACAAAAGCCCCCACACAGGGCAATACTTAATCTAGGTTTTACATCCTGCAATTCTGAAAGGTGAATTATATATGTCTGATTCAGTTTCCAGTGAACTCAGTAGTAGGGCAACCACCAGGCTTCAGAACAAGCCTTGAGAAAGCATCTGAACTACAAAAACTAAATGTGAAGCTATCTTCTGCTGTTACCTGCTGTGTTAAATACTGCGGACTGCCACACAGTATAAGCACTATAATAAATCTGTCCTCAAAGTTGTGAGCATGTGATACAAAGAACTTTACTGAAAAACTAAGTTACAGTACATGAATTAGAGTTTAGCTACAGCCAGCTGACACAACGTTAAACGCGACTTGTCCTTGTCTGCAATGTTGTTAGTTTGGAAAGAAGAGTTGAGTTAGTGACCTAATTTGCTAATGGAGACAAGCCCTTATCTGGAAAAAGTCTGTCTACAGCACTGCCAGCAGAAAGTCTGACTTGAACAT